TGGCTTTTTTCTTTTTGTTTATGTGGTGCTGAGGAATCAAACCCAGGGCCTCAGGCATGCAAGGCAAGCGCTCTACCACTGAGCCACCTTCCCAGCCCGGGTTTTTGTTTTCTAGATGGGATGGTTTAGTTATTTTACCATTATAAAAATACCTTCTCGGGCTGGGAAGGTGGCTCAGTGGTAGAGTGCATGCCTTGCATGCCTGAGGCCCTGGGTTCGATTCCTCAGCACCACATAAACAGAAAAAGCCGAAAATGGGGCTGAGGCTCAAGTGGTAGAGCACTAGCCTTCAGCTGAAGAGGTGAGGCACAGCGCCAGGCCCAGAGTTCAAGCCCCATAACCGACAAAAAAAAAACAAAACAAAGAAAAAAACTTCTCTTAGCTGTGGGCCGGTGGCTCACGCCTGTAATCCTAGCTACTCAGGAGGCTGAGATCTGAGTATCATGATCCAAAGCCAGCCCGGACAAGAAAGTCCGTGAGACTCTTATTTCCAATAAACTACTAGAAAGCTGGAAGTAGCTTTGTGGGTCAAGCGGTAGAGTGCTCGCCTTGAGCTGAAGAGCACAGGGACAGTGCCCAAGCCCAGAGTTCAAGCCCCATGACCAATCAAAAAAACAAAAACAAAAAAAAATACCTTCTTTTGCAGGGTGTCGGTGGCACATGCCTGTAATCCTAGCTACTCAGGAGGCTGACATCTGAGGATCAAGGTTCAAAGCCAGCCCAGGCAGGAAAGTCTGCAAGACTCTTATCTCCAATAAAACACCAGAAAACCATAAGTGTCACTGTGGCTCAAGTGGTAGAGCGCTAGCCTTGAGCTGAAGAGCTGAGGGACAGACCCAGACCCAGAGTTCAAGCCCCACAACTGACGAAAAAACAAAAACTAAAAAACCTTTCTCTTGGGCTGGGAAGGTGGCTCAGTGGTAGTTTCCCTGCCTTGCATGTATGAGGCCCTGGGTTTGATTCCTCAGCACCACATAAGAAAAAGCACAAAATAGTGCTGTGGCTCAAGTGATAGAGAGTTAGCCTTGACCTGAAGAACTGAGGGACAGTGTTCAGGCTCAGAGTTCAGACACCATGAACGACCCCCCCTCCAAAAAAACCCCCTCAATTTTCTAGAAATGAGAACTGTTTTTGTTGATCATCTTTTTGGCTAGGAAAATGCCAGCCTTTTAGTTTGTATAACTTAGAGGAATATCTGTTGATATTCTGTTTGAATATCTGTTTGCAGGTGTTGGCTATAGAAAACTTGGAAAAACACAAAAGCAGAAAGATGAATATGATAATCTCATAAAACCATTATTGAGTTACACTTTGGTGAGATTTTAGGTGATCTTTACATGTTCCCATTTAGAAACCGTTTTGAGTGCTCAGATACTTTGCTTGCTAATTATCTCCTAGGTTGAGTATCCAGGAGAAGATAATTTCTCACTTTTTAAAGTTTTAGCAAGGAGGGCTGGGAAGGTGGCTCAGTGGTAGAGCGCTTGCCTTACATGCATGAGGCCCTGGGTTTGATTCCTCAGCACCACATAAGCAAAAAGAAAAAAGCCAGAAGTGGCACTGTGGCTCAAGTGGTAGAGTGCTAGCCTTGAGCTGAAGAGCTGAGGGACAGCGCCCAGGCCCAGAGTTCAGGCCCCATGACCGGACCCAAAAAAAAATAATAATAAAGTTTTAGCAAGGAATTATTTTAGAAATGGAAAAAGAGAGATGTGTCCTGTTTCCTATAAAAGAAATGGGAGTTAGACACAAAAATTAGCTTCCATTAATTACATACAGCACTGTTACATTTCCATATATGTGTACAATAAACTCTAACTTCTTCCATCAGTCCCAATGAAAGTTCTTGCTGAAATTGTGCAAAAGCTCTATGTAGGTATAAAAACTAAATAATGAAGCCGGGTGCTGGTGGCTCAGGCCTGTAATCCTAGCTACTGAGAAGGCTGAGATCTGAAGATCATGGTTCAAAGCCAGCCCAGGCAGAAAAGTCTGTGAGACTCTTATCTCCAATTAACCACTAAAAAACCAGAAGTAATGCTGTGGCTCAAGCGGTAGAGCTTGCTTTGTGCTGAACAGCTGAGGGACAGCGCCCAAGCCCAGAGTTCAAGCCCCACAATTGACAAAAAACAAAACAAAAAAAACTAAATAATGAATAAAAAAGTGAAAATGTTGGGTGAGCATGTGGGGAAATTGTAGTCCTCATACACATTGCTGGTGGGGATGGACCAGTTGTTGTGGGAAAAAAGCTTGGTGATTGCTCACAAAAATTAAACATAGAATTATCATATAACTGAGTGGGGTACCGGTAGCTCATGCCTGTAATCCTACTGAGGAGGCTGAGATCTGAGGATCATGGTTAAAAGCCAGCACCGGCAGGAAAGTCGGAGACTCTTATCTACAATAAAACACCAGAAAACCAGAAGTGGTGCTGTGGCTCAAGTAGTAGAGTGCTAGCCTTGAGCTGAAAAGCTGAGGGACAACCATGCAGGCCCAGAGTTCAAGCCTCATGACCAACAAAGAGAGAGAGAGAGAGAGAGAGAGAGAGAGAGAGAGAGAGGAGAAGAAGAAGAAGAAGAGGAAGAAGAAGAAGAAAAGCATTATCACAGAACTCAGCAATTCTACTTTTTTTTTTTTTTGGTTCTAGGGCTTGAACTCTGGGCTGGGCCTGGGAGCTCTCTCTCAGCTCTTCAGCTTAATGCTAGCACTCTACCACTTGAGCCACAGTGCCACTTCTGGTTTTCTCATGGCTTATTGAAGATAAGGGTCTCCTGGACTTTCCTGCCTTTGTTGGCTTTGAACCACAATCCTTAGATCTCAGCTTCCTGAGTAGTTGGGATTACAGGCTTGAGCCACCAGCACCAGCTTTTTTTGCTCAAGGCTAGGTCTCTTATCATTTGCGCCACAGCATCAATTCTGGCTTTTTCTGTGTATGTGGTACTGAGGAATTGAACCCAGGGCTTCATGCATTCTAGGTAAGCACTCTACCACTAAGCCACATTCCCAGCCCTAAAATGGGGCTATCAATATGAGTATACATGTATCTGAGCGGCCGTTTTCAATGGAGAGGAGTGGTAAGTACACATAGAATAGAATTGCTGGGGCTGGGAATGTGGCTTAGTGGTAGAGTGCTTGCCTAGCATGCATGAAGCCCTGGGTTCATTTCCTCAGTACTACATACACAGAAAAAGCAAGAAGTGGTACTGTGGCTCAAGTTGTAGAGTGCTAGCCTTGATCAAAAGAAGCTCAGGGACAGTGCCCAGGCCCTGAGTTCAAGCCCTAGGGCTGGCAAAAATAAATAAACAAAACAACTCTATTTCACAACAGGTAATAGGTAGAAATACCCAAATGTCAATCAAGTGATGAATAGAATAAACATGCTACAGTAGAATACAATGCAGCCATAAAACTGAATTAATTCTAAAATATGCTCCACTCTGGATAAACTGATACATGAAAGGAATTAAACACAAAAGGTCACATATCCAATGATTACATGTTTGTAGAATATCCAGAATAGAAAAATTCAGACATTATACATTAGCTGTTTTAGGAACTTGGGTGCCAGATCGCCTTTTGAGGTGATTATTTTGGGAGAAGAGAGAGGTAGCCATGCACACTGTACTAAAAGTCAATGAAATGACAAATTTTATGTTATTTGTAGTTTGTGTGTGTGTGTGTTTTCCGTCCTGGACGTCGAACTCATTGCTTTGCATTTGCTAGGCAAGCGTCCCCTTACTTGTTAGGCAAGTTAACGCCCAGTCCATATGGTTTAAACTAAACAACAATGACAATAACCAAGAAAACTTGCTATGGGTGTTCCCAGGGGGCTGCGGGCCCTTTAAGCTCTGCTGAACTGGGGAGGCGGGGCCGCAGAGGCGGGCTTGTTAGGGTCACGTGAAGCTGCGCATGCGCCGAACGGTCACGTGGCGGCTAGCCGGGGAAAATGGCGGCTTCGGGGGAAAGCGGGGCTTCGGGTGGCGGCGGCAGCACGGAGGAAGCATTTATGACCTTCTACAGTGAGGTGAACACACCACGAGTACTAGTGGTCCCGGGACAACCCCCCTCGGGCCTGCTTTCCCGCTGGGCGGAGGCAGTAGGCCTCCAGGCCTGGACCGTTGGTCAGGCTCCGCCAGCCCGGCCTTGGGAGCAGCGGGGGCTGGCGGTCTGTGCGCACCTCCCCCTGACGGCTGCAGGGGGTCCCCACATAACAAAAGAGGGGTCTGGGCGGCGTGGGGGTGGAGGGGGACCCGG